GTATAGCAAGCGGGCACGGACAGGCAGGTATAGCAAGCAGGCACAGATAGGCAGGATAGCAAGCGATTAGGCCTTCGTGGTCTGCGATGGGCGACCGAGCACTCCAAGTTTGCACATGCGAAAACGGTAACGTGTGAGCTTCACGACGTTCGACTGATGAGTCCCTCTCTTCCGTTCTCCGGCTCGCACACCTGCGAAGTACCGCGCGAGCGAGTACCGAATTCTTCTCATAATGGGGGATGCCACCCGCGGGCGGGCAGCACGAGTCGGGTGAGTCGCGCGAATATCGACAAGTGTACTAATCGCGATCCACCGACGTTTCGCTAATAGGCGCGATAATTTAACCCGGTATAACTAATCAATACAAGAACCGTACAATTAACAATGTGAAGCGACAACACGAAATCGATCCTATAATTAGCTACTATTTACACTATGATACACGGCGGTGCGCCAAACATTACCGCCCACCAAAATACACCGTATTTTCTATGTTTGAGCGAGTCCCTCCGGTGAGCCGTCCATCGGCAGAGGGCACAGCTTCACCAGAGGGCGACTAAGGAGGCCATCCGCCGTCCTCACCGTAGCGACCCGGGCGACCCCGTCACGACCCGGATGCAATTCCTCGACGCGCCCTGGTCTCCACGCCAGAGGAGGGGCGTTTTCGGTTTTTAGAAGGACCAACGTGCCCTTTGATATCGCGTCTGCCGGCTTTAGCCACTTTGGTCGTTGCTGGAGGGTGTGTAGATATTCTTCATGCCACCGTTTCCAGAACTGTTGGTGCATGTGCTGCACCAGCTGCCATCGATCGAGTCTGCCTATCGGCACCGGGTCTAGGTCGGGATAGGGAACCGCTACGAGCGGCTCTAATGTGATAAAGTGCCCCGGGGAGAGCACCCCGAGGTCGTGGGGATCCGAGCTGGTGGGGCACAAAGGTCGGGAATTCAGGATGGATTCTACCTGTGCTAGGAGGGTACTGAATTCCTCCACCGTGAGGATCTGCGCTCCCACCACGCGTTTCAAGTGGGTTTTTGTCGCCTTAACCCCCGCTTCCCAGAGGCCACCAAAGTGTGGCGCGGAAGGGGGGTTAAAGGACCACTGGATTTGTTCTCGCCCTGAGGCCGCCTCCATGCAGCTGACGAGCTCGCGCTGAGCCCCCACGAAATTGGTGCCGCAGTCGCTGTAGATCCGCGAGCAG